GGAGAATAGCTAGTAGGAAGTTTGACTCGCGGACTAGTGCATCCGTTCCCTCTTCGGGTCGCGTCCGGAGTGATCTCTGGCAACATTCATTTGAGCGGCCACCATTGGCTCTCTTTGTTTTATGCAGCCGTGGACCGCGCGAGGTTACGCCTCGGCGTGGGCGCAGCCGAGACTAGGCGTATTAGTAGGTCGCGCTAGACAGGGTGCGGGCAGTCAGCATGACTGCAGCCTTGGCGTGATGAGTCAATGATCACGGGTTCCCACAGTGGCGCTAGTGCCCACTATAAGATTTCGTATTATAAACTACCACTTGTTTTTCTGCTCTGCGTATGCTAATGACATCACATCACTGGCGAACAGGAAAATAAGGCAGGTTTTCGAAGGTGATGCCTCTAGGTATGACGAGTAAAATTACTAGGATATCATTCTATGATTGCTCAACCACTAATTTTATCCAAATATGACAATCCGCTCCCCTCTTAACCGCTTGTTCGAAACCTTGCTGGTCGCAACAGGAAAATATAAGCTAAACAGGCACACAAATGTTAGTGGAAAAAATACGTTCAACATTGGCGCTTTTTAGAAAAGATAGCCTGCAACTGACTGGCAACTATGCATCCAGACGAGGCAACAAAGGGCTAACTTTCGGGTTGGTGCCGCCTCACCATGTCTGTCTCGTGTGTGGCCCATGCGCACAGACTGAGCTCGGTAAGCATTTCAACGGAAGCGACAAATACCAGAAAAAAATGAAGGTCACTCACGCGGAAGTTTAGTCGATTGCTAAACCCGTATGCTAAGTCCGAAAATGCCTGTGCGTGCTTCTGTACAACAGTGCCAGATTAAAGTATTTGCTCACACCAGTGTCTCTTAGGCCTCTATCACAAACGCACGAATGTCAGGCCACAGCCCCAAGACAAGGGGAACCAATGAAAATCATTGGCTCTTTGTGAGTATAAAAAACGCGCTAAGATGGTCAGCAAACAGGTACCGCGACTTATTGATCAATATCTGGTATTTTAGCAGGTAACAGGCACCAATGAATCGCCGGCAAACCACATGCGTTCTCCTGATTCTATGCGGGATTCTGTGGATTGAAAGGCACGTGAAAATTGGCCCGTCCCCTGATAACGTTGACAAGGAGAGATTTCTCAAAAGGATTTTGCCCTTTTACAGTAACATTAAGTCGGACAGCAGACTTAGTCACCTGGAAGACGCAAAGTTTAATGAACAAACAGGGGAACCCGTGGCTTACCTCCGAACATTCGAAGAACCCTTTTTTCTCCCTGTGCCTAAACCTTGGTGTCTCTCTTCCAGTCAGAATAAGTTGACAGTCACTTACAAGAGCCGAGAAATTGATACCAGCTGGCTTTCCAAGGACTTGATCAAAACCGTTGTGGCTTGCTGTTTCGCAGACAAGGATCCAGATGCTCAAGCTCGCATGAAACTCCGACACTCTCTGCGCCTGTTTAGAGATTCTTTTGAAGAGGGTAACGTTACACTGATAATGACATTTGGTTCGATGCTGGGATCATTACGGTATCATCAAAGGATGTTTTACGATGTTGACTATGACTTTAGCGTTGATGATCAGGATATGGAGCGTGCAATTAGCATTATGGCCAAACTTTCGGCAAACTCGGCCACCGAGATGCGTTTAATTGACGCCCGATTCTCCTCTGCGAATCCGAAGTTTGGATTTCTGTGTGGCAATGACCCAGGTTGGAGACAGCGTGAAAATCTTTGCATTGAAAAAGAGGAGAGCTACGTGGTGTGCAACTCATGGGCTGGTATACTGTCAGTCCTCAGACCCTGTCTTTTCTACGTCGATTTGTATTGGATGAGAAAGGATAACAGCGGTAGCTTAAGTGTCAATTCGGTAAATACGAAGTTCGCTCTGGAAGATGTACTGACTTCCGATTACAGGCCACTGGACGGGACGCTCTTTCGATCCGTGCGGAACTTCGAACGATATGCTGAAGCGATCTATGACTCATCCATTCAAATGTGCGTACCCAAAACTGGCAAACTAGGTGCAAACGGAGAATGGTTTAAGATTACTGGAGACAGTAATCCGGACTGTACAGACTTTGCGCTGCCCTGCGCATACATCGACAAGCTTCATCCACGAACATACATGCTAACGAATGGCGGAAACAGAATTGAACTTGGATTGCGCTGGCTGAATTCCGGTGAATGTGTCGCATACTCCGTTTTTGTTAAATTCACATGAAATATGCTATATGAGAAGATGAAAACCATCTGCTGCTTGTCTAAACAGCGGGTATTTTTTCCGAGTTTCTGCTTTCCTGGGCACTTTATAATACGCCAAGGAACTGTCATGGGACAATACTTGCGTGAGCGCGGTGGTATGTGGCATTATCATTCGGTCGATTGAAGTAGTTTGTTGTATAGTAGTGTTTAACTACTCCAAGTACCTAATGCTGACTTAATCGAGACGTGTCGGATTGAGCGTTATTGAATATGACCTAGTATATATCATGTTTTAAGGCTTACTAAGCCTGAAGTAGTACATGCAATATATGACGTGTATTATTGTAGCACTTTTCGTGCGCTATCAGTCTACTTGGAAACCGGTTGCAAATTGATTTCATTTATTTTAAGTTTCTCCTTAGTTTAGAGTCAGCTAGTTTGGGTGTTTGTTTTCAGTGCTTATCTATTGAACAGAATCTTTTGATCCCATCTGGTCAGAGGACTGACGGGAACAGAGTCCTAACGCATTCAATAATCTATGAATAGTATAACTTATAATCAGTGTGTTAGATTTTTTAGAAAGTTGTACAGTAACGAGGGCTTGGAATAATATTTTTAGAATTTGCTTATCTTATAGGATAGGATGTCGAGGAGCATTGTGACTTGTTTGCATATTCCGTTTGAGTATCCACTGCTCCTATGTAGTTTTGAATTTGACATAAAGGCTATTTGGAGGTATCCGAATGCAGAGAACTCTAAGGGTGTATTGTATCGCATGTACTGCAACCCATATGTAAATCAGGTCTATTTAAAATTAAAAAGACGCACATTTTGAACCATATCTACCAGAAAAAACATCTGGTAATAGGATACATAAGTCAGGGATCGATTTCATTTGTGCATTTTGCCATAGTTACAAGCCTGCTGCTTCTTGTGCGTCTGTGAATACTTGTAATGAATTGGCTGCAGTTATACCAATTGTAAATTGTTTAGTCTATGAAGGATCGGGACACAGTCTCACCACGACAGCATTTTAATGACAAAGTTGAAGGGCTCTAGTAGAACGATCAATTCTGTGGGCTAAATTACACAGTTTCGCAAACATCTTTAAAAGGAGGTTTCCAGTTCCTTATAATTCGAAATGGCGGGAGATTGCTGTATGAACATAAAGTGCTTGAGCATGCTGTCGGCTTTTTGATTGTTCTACCGAGTTTCCTTGAAAGTTTACAAATTCATATTAAAAAGTCGTATTGGCAAACAATTGTTTTCAGTCATTTGTCATCATGCCGGTACATGACATGGGGAATAAAAATGGTCAGTTAATTGCAGCGTTTATATAATCGTCAGGTTGGCGGAGGGGGGGGGGAGGAAGGGGCTGAGGGTAATCAAGCAACTGGGTTTTCCCTCATCTCCTGAATGTGGGCGCCTGCGCGGGTAGGACGTTGGTTGCGATGCGCAAAGAAAGGGGATATGTTCTCGCGGTCAGCTGGTTGAGATCTGTATGTCAGCCGCGCAGCTTGCGCTTGACTTTTCTCTGTGGCTTCGTTTTGTGTGTTTTCAGACGACGTCGCTTCAGTAGGCGTGGGATTTCCGAGTGCAGTCGGCCAAGGGAGGCAGATTGCTTGTACCAGCGCCTTTTGACAGTATAGACTGGGTTTTGTTAACCGGATTGCCACTGCCTCTGCTGTGGCTAACACCCGCTTGCGTAGGCCTTAGAGTAGCATGTCGGCGTGTGGTATATGACCCGAAAGGCTTCTCTCGCGTCCACATGGTGATTCGTATCAATTAGGTGGGCGAGGATTGAGCTTGAGATCGGTCTATTCTCTCCTCTGCCGACCCATGCTAATATGTGCTCGCGTATTCTCTTCTCCAGAGGTCGCGTTGTTCGGCCAATATATCCCGCTCCACAGGAACAGGTGAAAGAATAGATGCACATAGATGTGGCCTGAAACGGTAGTCTGTCCTTACCTCCCATTCGTAGAAGGGGACAGTTAGCGAAGAGCACCCGTAAGTTTGCCGTCGGAGAGGCATTCATGACTGCTGTCCTCAGGCGTCTTCTAACCAGTTCACTTGTTCCGTCTCCCATAAACGGCAGTTTTATGAATAGATGTTTCGTTTCCGCCGTTGCAACTGCGACCTTCGTGACACGCTCCCTGAAATATGCAGCCCCCCGAGAGCACAGTCCTGCTGATTGGTAGATCTGAGTTTGTTCCTACAGATAGTATCTACTTGAGCCCGGTGGGTCGTTTGCGGTCACGCATGCTACAAGCTAACATTTCCACATCTCCACGCAGACCAGGCATCAATGTGTGGTTTCAAATGTCGCAGAAGTCAGGCAGCAATCATATCACATCCTCTGGTAGTGATTTTTCTGCACTGAAGGAGTAAATCGAATGGGGTGCCCGAGAAAGGATTCCTTATAAATAAGGCCGCAGTAACGAAAATACCTAGGTTTTTGTAATGTGGGACCAGTGGTAATATATTACTGGGAACATACTTTACATTGGAGGAGGCTCACCAGCGCGCTAAACAGGCCGAAGTTACCTCCGACATCTCCAAATCGGAGTCCACACACACACACACAAGGGCAAGGGTTGCCGAACGAAGTTAGAGTTTGGTACAAGTAATGTTTTCTTTCCTAGCATTCCTCGTCGGATAACATCGGATTCCGAAGACGACGCCACTGATAGAGAGAATGAACCGCCACCGGCTAAACGATTAGCGGGATGGCCAAGCCAGTCTCAGTAAGCACTATTACTTTAACTCATTTTAAGGGGCGCTCCGTGTTGAATTCTCCCACAACTGCGGCTGCATCCACGTCACAGCCACATGACTCGCTCCCCGCAACGACTCAGGCGTCGATGAATTCCATGGCGGAACGCTATGAAGCCTTACAGGCCCGCAATAAAGACTTGGAGGCTCGATATGAAGCCTTGCAGGCCTCATTACGGCAAAGCAACGAACCAAATAGACACGGGCATGACAAGACTACGTAAGACCGCTCGATATAGCTTTCTACGTTTATCTCAGTAAACGGCTAGCTAATTATGAGACTGTCTATCGCTGAGACGCCGATTGGGTACGGTAAGGCCTCGTCCTTTCCCTAGTCATAGGTTATTATAGTACAACACTTGAGACACTTGTTAAGAAAGTGGATCACATTGCTGACGAGCACAGTGTGCTGCACAGCAAAGTTGAGCAAGTTGGTGCTGTTGTTGTTGACAGCCGGCGTTCAGTGCCGACATGCACCATGGCAGCACTAGGGTGTTTGCCACTTTGCTCAGAAGAAAGCTTGGACCACTTTCTCGAACGCTTTAAGTCCAACAAGGAATGCCTTCAGCAAAAGGCATGCTTCCGTTCAAACCCACTTCTAACTGGTAACTTACAGGTTGATTGCCTATTGAACGTTTACCTACGCGAGGAGTTCTAAAAAGAAAATGTCCTTCATTGGAAGCCCGCTGTATGCGGTTTTCAGTGGTAGGTTTACATTATTGTCATGACCTTCAGAGGCCGTCCGACAACATCCTCATTTACGGAATATTGACGAAAAGATACTTCGGAAAAGCGTGATCGAATGGTTCCACGGGTCTCGGGACCGCTATGGTAGGGTCCGAGAGAAACGGAAGGATGTTGTCCAGGAAGGTTTCCTAGACTTACTCAACTCCGAGGACACTGTAAATGTCATCGTACTTGCATATCTTTCCCGTTAAGTTCATTTGCTTACTATTGACATTCACGAGTTACTCGGAGGGCATACTAGGCGACCAGTGTCAGGGCGAACATTCAGACGCTTTACCACTTGGTGAGTCATGACCAAAGACCAAAACCAGACATAAGCGATAAGAATAGAGTCTGTGTCCGAGTGCGTGCGTGCGTGCGTGCGCGCGCTTACCCTCTCGCAGCACCGGTGAGCCTTCTTATCGATCAAGTCTGGCTTTGCTCTCGGGCCACAGCCCACCCAGTAGTAACGTGTCTTCCTGATCACACTGATGTCGGTGACTGAGAGGGGACAGGAGCTTGGCCACTTACGTATAACACGCGCATACGCAAGTAAATAGATTTACTAATAATTACTTAAATTTGCCACAATTCCATTTTGAAAAATTCAGAAGATGAATTGGCGA